GCTGTTGAAGTGAGATTATTATCTCACTTCAACAGAAAAATATGTTATACCTTATCATTATGGCCCACAAAAAAAAAAGGAGGCAAATGCCTATATAGGATATCATGCAATTGAATGTCAGACTTGAGATCAAATGTTCTCATGCAGCACATGGAATTTAAAGCATCATTCAGGGAAGCTGTTGGGCAACAGAGGCTGCTTCCTCTCTGTGGACATCCTGCAGAATCAGAGACAAAATGTAAGCAGGAAGCGCAGAGCTTAGATCTGCTTGCCACAATAGGTTGTTTCCCTGCAGCTGACACCTCCATATTGTGCATGCATTCTGTGTAATCTTATCTTGGATGTTTTCAGTGATGCAGCTCATTGCTCTAAAGGAAGCTAGTCACGTCTTACTCTTGGGCTCCATCACAGACAAGCTTTAAGCTTTTCACCTTCACCTCTTAACAGAAATCTGATTTAGTGGGACTGACTTAGGTTTTGAAGTTCTTTAAGAATGAGAAAGAAATAACATTCCAACTAAATCTCAAGAAACTTACTGCTATGTCACTTGGGTCAAGGTATTTGATCCACTGAACGTTCTTTTGAGGATTAAGCATATTGAATGTTTGTGCCCTCCCTCTGTTGATATCATCTCTGTTGCCTCCTTAATTAGGTTTCAATTCAAACTATAAAAAACAATCCAAGGTGAAATTATGTTGGTGTTTATCACTGGCTCATTAATTAGTCAATCAGATTTCAAGATTCCTAAATATGCAAAAACAACTGTCTGCCCCAGGGTAATCTTTATTCTCAAAGCAGTTAAAGCTTTAAAAGTAGAACTTAAAATCCAGTCACAAAAATAAACATTAACGTATACAATAAACCTCAGTCCTGGTCCTTGACAGGTCTCCAAAAAGAAAGAAAAGCAGTAAAAAAAAAAAGACAGAATTTGCACAATAGGATGATTGACAGTAGTCTTAAGTTTTATCAACCTGAAGAAAAATAGATGTAATTATTCTGCAGATAAGCATGTCTTCCAAAAGCAAATTTTAACATAATTTTTGCTCCTGTTTGGTCTGAATCAGCACATCTCTGGGGCGTGTGCAGGTTTAGCTGGAAGTAAAACAAGCTTTGGCCTGACTTTGTCTGACTCATGTTGACATTTTTCTAGTTCACTTTGAAAGACCTTATCTGTACGAGTGCAATATCTTTTGTCAAAGTTAAAATCAACATATGAAAAAACATTTTTAGGTTTTCTAGCTTTGAGAAAAAATGTTCCCTGTGGGAAAACTGTTGCTTGTGCTCTTCTTCCAGCTAGAAATGTTCATCCAGATTTCACTTTGCTATGATAGAACAATGCTTTGTTACAGATATTTCCAAAAGGGGGAACAGGTACTTATGACCCTAGATCATAATTTTCACATTTAATTTTCAACTTTGTTCAAGACTGTAGCTCACAAAAGTTATGTTTTTTTTTCTGCTCGAGATCAATATATGTGCCATAAAGGTGTTAGATAGAAAAGTCTGAAGGACAACTGAGAGTTCATAAAGTGAAAACATACCTGGGGATTTATCCTGTGATAAAGAGGAAGTCAGGGGAAATGCTGGCTGAGATACTTAGCAAACAGGCACACAACCTAAGCATGACAACACATTCAAATATAAAACCCAATGGCAATCAGTTCAAGTGGATACTTTTATTTCTGCCCCAGTTCTGGTTGGTTTCTTACTCTGATGTCACCAGAATACATTTGTGAGGCTTGCAGTGACTGTCCACTTTCACTTTTCGGTGTTTTACTTAAGAGCTTACCTGCGCTTTGTCAGCTGCCATGATGTTTTTCTGATGAAGTCGTCTGTCAAAGCCACTCTGTCCAGCTTTGACATGTGAGTTGGTCCTTAACAATTATTCCTGGCTAATTCCACAAATATGGTGGATGGAAGTTAAATACTGAGAAATGTTGCAGTCAAGCACTTTCACTCACTTGGCTCAGACACATAAAAAAATAACTCATCTAATTATCCTGGCTAAGCATGTATGGATACCACTTTGAGACAACAGATACTGATTTAATTTGATAAAATAATGCACAGACATCAGCCAATGACTTTAAAAGTAAAACTGCTATAAAAGTAAAACTGCTATAAAAGTTAGCTTCTGGTCAAAATTAAACTGACAAACAAAACACCTCAGCTATCTTTTGTATCTGATTCACAAATTAAGTCTTCTCCCTTCATACTTTGATTTTGCTTTTAAATCTAAGTCAGGGGGCAAAGTTAGTTGTAGTGGAGAAACTGTTTTTAGTAGAAATTTGTGCTCCGATTTACCGCTACAAAAATCTCTGGATAACATGATCTTTGAAGGAAAAATGTATAATCTTGTCCTTTTTAGTCTCCCCAGTAAGAAGTCTCACATCCTTTCAACATAATACTTTTAGATACATGTATTCCTAAAAAAAAACAAAAAACAAAAAAAAATAAAAAATAAACAGGAGAGAAACCCATTTGTACTGAAGTCATAGAGAGTGACAGACTATGATTACAGACACTACTATCATCAACCTATCCATCATACATGTGACTCAAGGTAGTTTTTTTATCATAAAAGTTATTTTAATTGCTTTTAAAAGCAATGGAAAGATCAAATGTAACTTATTCTTGGCTGTTATTAATTTGTTGGTTTTCTGGCAGCTCTAATAAAAAGTAATCCTGAATTTTAATTCTAACTAATACAGCTTAGTTAGGAAATTCAACATTTAGAGGTATCCGTCATGTGTCTTGCTATCTTTCAAGAAAATATATATTTTAGCAACCTTTTGCATAATATAAACCTCATTTAATTAGTCTGATTAGAGAACTAACCTTGGCAGGCACATAGTTTTTGAATATTAACACATCTCACTTGGAAGTGACACCTACAATTTGCGCTGATCATTTTTTCTTGGACAGAAATCAGCTTTAGTCTGTATCGAAGTATGAAAGTAAACAGCAGGTGGCAAGTCCCTGAAATAAACATGGGCTGCTTTGATATTCTGTTTGCTGTGATATTTTCTGTATTATTAGAAAGCTAACACAAAACAAAACCAGTAAGCAGAATTGATAAAGTTGAAAATGAGCCAGAAGGGAAAAAAGGCCACAAGCTAACTCATACTGCTCAGGCTTACATACATGTGAAGTTTTGTTTTGTGAATGTAATTCTGATCTGTTCAGAGGAAAAAGTTTTGCTATCATTATTTTAGAGCTTTGTTTGAAGAAATAGGAATAGCTAAGTTATGTACTATGTGAATTGTACCGTTCTTTTATATTCCATTCCCCACATTGTTCTTTCATTTGGGTATCAGACAGATGTGCAGCTGCTTTTGACGTTCATCTGGCAGTTGAGGTCAGCAGAACTCTGCATAAGGCATTTACAACAATGTAGTTTTACTGAAGGGGAGTGAATTCAAGTGGAGAAATAAACCATCAGTAAAGGTCCAGCCCCTCACCCTGTCTATTTTTGCTTCTGCAAGCTTCAATTGTTTCACCCATGTAGGTCATCCGTTGCCTGTGTGTGTTCTGGTGAGATAATACAAGAGCATATGTGTGAAGAGTTTGTCTTCAAACTGTAGGTGTTATTTTAACACAAACACAACAAGGCATGGAACCCACTCTATGTAATTCAGGTGAACAGAGGTCAAAACAACAGGCGGCCCAAACAGCAGAATATAAATGATGTCTGACTTTGCTTTTGCTAAAACCAAAACAACAACTTCCTCATTTGTTGTTTTAAAGTATTTTGAAGTGACTTTAATAACCAAAAATATAAACTTTAAAAACCAGTGAAAGCAATACTAAACCACAACTTCCTCTTAGGGTGAATGCAACTGATCATTAATGGACATTTTCTTTTTGGACTTTTACAAATTCCAAAAAAGATACAAAAAGCAAAAAGAAAAAGAAAAACACAAAACAATCCAGGGCTAAACTAGATTTTTGATTCAAATTAAAAAGTTAGTACATATAAATTAGTACATTTAAGTCATTGTGACCAAATTTACAATAACAATACTTTGTATGATGCTCTAAGGATATAATATAGTGTCTACAATAAACAAAATAGTATACAATAAAAATAGACACTTTAACGGTGCAATTTAATAAATTACAAAATTAATGAAAATATTTGAATCTCATTAAATTGGTTTAAAAAGTGAAACTCATATTACACCCTTTCATTACACACAGTGACATATTTTTTCAGATGTGGCTTATTCAAAGTTTTGTAGACGATTTGATAACATAAAACCAATTAAATAAAGGATTTTTGGGGGGTTTACAACAGTACATCTTCTTTCTCCTTAGTTTAAATAAGACACTTGTGTTGTTTTTTGTAGTTGTTTAGTCTCAGAAGTGGCTTAAGACAAGAAATGTGACAGTTGTAGACCATGTTCTCCATACACCTTTAGTGTTGGTTCTTTAACTCCAGCTGCAGTCCACACTTTGTGAAACTCCCCAATCTACTGACTGGAATTTAATTCTTCTCGAAGCTTCAACTATTTTCAATATGCTTGAATTCATCCAGCTTCTTTAGCAATAACCTAATATTTAGGCTATATAATAAAAATGTGATCCACACTTAAAGCATTAAAAACAACCATGTTGATTTCTTCCAAATGTAACAGCATCTGCTGAGGAGGTGGGCTTCACTTTTTGGCCTCTGAATGAGGCATGATTCCAATTCATTCCTAAAATGTTGATTAAAAACAATGGCTTTTTTGTCCAAAAGCATATTTACACATTTCATTTGACAATGTTACATGCTAGTCATAATCTCACACACACAAAAAAACTTCCGCATTTTGAAAAACAGAGAAAAATAGAAAAATTCTCCATGTATGTACATTGTTGTATTCTAGAGGGAAATATTTTGTTAAATTATCCAGGAACATCAAATTTTAACTGTAAAAATTAACCCCAATGGTGTCTATTTTTCCAATTTTTAGTATGATTTCATTGAAACTACATCACAATGAGCAAAAGTTATGAACTGAAGTAAAAAAATCACACAAGATAAAAGGGCTTACAGAAAAGTGAAAAGCGCTGTGTGAAATATTGTGCAAGAGGATTCCCAAGCCAGTTTCTCAATTGCTTTCATGAAAATTAGCTGCCTGATGCTTTCTGTTTTCCATTCTTCCTCCACATAACTCATTTTTCTGCCCTTGCTGACAGTATTGAGCAATGACTTTGCCAAGCTGTTTGCATCTATGCTTTTGTGAGGAAAATTAGTACACAGGGTTTTAGCTCCTGGTGGATCAGTGTAGCTACGATACAAAAACACATAACAAATGGTTGTGTTTTTACCATTGCTAAGAGTTTTGTCTGACAATGCTGACTCTTGTACTTTGGAATAAGATAAAGACAATACAGATCAAGTTTAAAGCTTCTGTAACAAATTATTATTCCTGTATTTTTTCACATTTACTTAAATTTAGGTGCAGATTTTATTATTTTAAATAAGATTTCTGCAATTTAAAAATTGCCTTCATTAGTAAAATATAAATCAATCATTCATCGGGATAACTTTGATCCCATGAGCATTGATGTAAGTGAGGAGGATGTTGGCTCGCCTCTCAATCACATCGATCAGTTTGTCGATGCCCTGTCGGCCGCCCTGACTTTCCCAGTACATCTGGTCCAGAAAGAGCGACTGGAGAAGTTTTTCCCTCAGCTTCCTGTTCCTCAACACAGACACAGCCTGCTCTGGCAGCCTAGGGAGACACAGGAAGAGTTTTGATTCAGTTTGTACATGTATCAAACAACTGTATTTAAACTGAGATTAAATTACACCCAGAAGGATTATGTCCACCTTTCAGTCATATGCTACGTTTTGTTGTTGTGTCATGTAAAATTCAAATCAAACACTCTGAAGTTGCAATATGAAATATTGTGACATGTTAATCTATCACATAAAACTTTTGTAAGACACTGTAAAAACATATCCTAAAATCTGAACATAGGTGATTAAGATGTAGCAAACTCACTCCTTGATTCCTTCCAGAAGCCTGAAGTCTAGATTGTCCTCATTGCGGTCGAAGAACCCTTTGTTGTTGGTGAAGACCAGGTGCCTGAGGTCATGTTCCCTGTGCACGATGTTTTCCAGTTGTATGTTTTCCTGGTCCTTACACACATCATGGCGGCCCGGTTGAACACACACGTCCTCCTGCCATGATCTGAATCCGCAGCAGCTCGGATCCAGACGGCTGTGAATCTAAGGAGACAGTTCACATTTCTTCAGAAAACAGAAGAACAGCTCAAGCTGGGATTTACAGATTTTAAATTAGGATTCAGGTTTTTTTATCCCCATTGCATGAGGCTGATAATGGAGGTAAACCCTTTATTCAATATTTTCCCCCACTCCATTTTGCATCCATAACATCCACTTTAATATGAGAAAATCAGGTATAAAAGGTTTAGCCAGGAAAAAAAAACGCCTCATGCTGATTCCTCTTCAGTGTCTCTTTGACTCAAGTTACCATTTTATATAGTTTAAAGGAACACCAAATAGACCACCACATAGCTGCATAACATCATCACAGAGGGGATTCTCCTCTTAAGCCTAAAAAGGCAGAACCTCCTGCTGTAAAACACCTGCTGCCTCCACAGGGAATGGTGACCATAAATTAGATTAAAGCACTCATTCATTTTTTGCTCTAAACAAAACAACATGATGCAAGAAAGGTTTCAGACTGAAAAAATCAGACAACCTACTACAATTCAACAGTTGCTTAATCCTAGAAAACAAGACTTAAATGCTATTCTTGTTTAAGCCGACATTCCTCTCTAAGTGCACCTCCATCGTTAAGCCTGCGTCAGTTATATATGACGAGTTAATATATGAGTTCGCAACTATTACGTAAGGGTACCCATAAAACCATAAACATGTAAAAAATAAATGGTATTAACTGATCTTTTGTTGTTCATGAAAAATTATAAAATTAAGCACATATTTATGTAACAAAAATGTTTTTTCTAATCCTAATCCGGAGAGTTTTTAAAGAAATCCAGTTTCCACTTTTTGTGCATTCTTTATAGAGTATTTGCTGTCAGTGCCAAAATGTAATCCACAGAGACCGCCCACACAGGAAATGAGCAACACGACATGGAAAATGAATTGTTTGTTTCTTTTCTTTTCTTTTCTTTTTTTCCAGTTTACTAAACACAACTTTTAGAGATTTGTGTTGACTAAAAGAAAGAAAGTTTTTTTATGAATTGTGTTGGAAGCTTCAAAGTAAATTAAAAACAAAGCATGAATGTGATAAGAGATTTATTGAATGTAAAGATAACTTTAAGTAGTACTTTTCCCCAAACTTTAACTCAGATTTTGATGTTACTGTGGTGAAGAGGTGAATCCAAAATGTATTCTTATATAAAGCCCTTTCTCATTAGATTCAAGACGTTTATTATTCCAACAAACAAAATATAGGAGCACATCTAAATAGTAAGTATACTTATAGGGACATAGTGCTGCAGAAGAAAGGATTAAAGAAGCAATTTGTCTTCAACAACTTTCATAGCACCGTAATCTAATGAGACGCTCCAGCTGCATTTTTGTGGATTCAGACAAAAAATTTATTTGTCTGTGATGTTAAATTTAAAGCTTTAATCCATCAGAGTTTTTACCTGTAGCAAAAAGTCAAAAAGAGCTAATTTGCTCCATTCACTGTGATAAATTGAAGAGCATCCAGAGTTGGACTTTGGGTTAACATTTTTTTGCCAACACCTCTGTGTCAGGGAGTTCTGGTACTCCTTCCATGTCATCCTCACAGTAGCTGGGCCTGCAGCAAGGTCTTTGGGGTACAGCGATACATCCCATAGAACCACCTGGCAGGCCTGGCCCTCTAAAGTGACAAAAGAACAGGGATTAAATTGTTGGATTAGAGCACATGTAACATCTAAACCTTCATGAACTACAGATATCTGTTCTGTTTCAATTCAGTTTGCTAGAATCACTAAAAAACTCATTTTGAATCCTATAATTGAGCAGATAAAGGGAGAGGAGAGAGAAACAATCTGCTCTCCAAGATAAGGCTCATATGTTTCCACAGTCCTCTAAGGTCTGTTAACACTGATGTTGTAATTTTCCATATGTGATGTATCAAAAAAGATTTACTGCTATTTCCTCCCAAACAAGGTTAAAAGGTGAACTAAACAGCAGAAGCAACCATGGATATCTGAACCTAAAGCTCAGGGCAAAAATAATGTGTCTCTCCTGGTTCAGCTTAACACATTTAGAAATATTTCATATCCATCACAAATATGAAAGCAGATGAAGACATTAGTCACAGGCAGGATTATTGTAAAGCAAGGTAGAAAAACAAAGAAAAGACATTTGCTTCCAGTTGCAATGTGCTTCCAACATCTATGCATATAGAAAGATCCAAACTGTGCTTCAGTTCTGTGGTATTAATAAAATAAGTGCAGAACCTGGGGAAAGTATTTACACCTGAACTTTTGTGTATTCAGTCACATATATGTATTTTATTGGGCTTTTATGTCATATAGCAAAGAAAAAGGCATTGGATAATTGCTAAGCAAGGGGAAATTGTTTATGATTTTCAATTATTTTTGTTATTGTGTATTTTTACAATTAAAAAAGCCAGAAGACTCTCCCACATTTGGTGGGCGACCATGTCTTGATGGGTTTGCACCCCTTCATTTTTCTCTTTGACTTCTCTTCTGTGTTCCTCTGTCTTTATGAACTATTTGTTCACCAACATTCTCTAAGAAACCTTCACAGAACCTCTGGGTTTATGGCAGCATTGGTTACTCCTAAAGGCACCAGATTTTATTTGGGGTTTTCAAACTAAAGGAAACTTAACAGTCACTGCATATCTTTGATATTTGAAAACCATACATCATGTTCCTTCTACTTTACAACAAAAAGCTGTTTGTGTAGGTATGTTACATAACAGGTTTGTTGTTGCAGTGTGACAAAATGTGAAAAGTCCAACTAATATAAGATGTTCATTCTCTAGTGAAACAAAGTAAAACCTTCAAAAATGAAAAACAATTAACAGAATGCATGTTGGTGGTTTGAACGAAACGTTTTCAAACCATCGTAGATGAACAACCTATAGATTATATCTAATCTAAATAAAAATGAAGACCTACCGTTCAAAAAGCCAAACTTCCTGCTTACTGCAGGTATTGTCCTATTGAGGCCAAGCACCCTATCCAAATGGAAAGCAAATACCTCCGTGTTTCCCACCGAGCAGTGGATAATTCCGCACTGGCCTCCACATATATTATTTCTATTCAAGTGTTTCTGACTGAACAGACGGTCCATGTCTGCACCCTCAAATATCACGTGGGACGGTGCGTCCAGACGAGGGATTTCTTTTATGCGCAAAACTTTGGCATCCCCAAGAAAGCGCATGCTTTTCACGTCCTGTGCGCTGAACCACGGAGGTGCCATTTCGCTGTAAATTCGAATACTACTAAAATGAGGGTCTGTTCCATCGTTGTAAGACTTTGAGAAGAAGTCCACAAGACTTCCCCCGTTCCTCGATGTCTTAAGTCCAGTGCTGCGGTTTACTTGGCCCGCTTCCCGTTCCACGCTGAATCGGTTGCGCTGCGTAATTGTTGGATCGTCTGTCTTTCTTCTCACTTTCTTTCTCAGCTTTGGTCGGATTGTACCTCGAATATTTGCTGGTTTAAGACGCTTGAACTTTAGCGTTACGTAGACCACATTGAACAGGGTCGGGACCTCCAAACTAGCTTGGGTTTGCAGGTCAGAAGTGGCCGGTAGTTCACCGTCTAAGTGATGCTCGCCGCGGGTGTGGCGCTTCTGCTCCTCGTTACTCCTTCTGCTCCGGGGTTGCTCTAAATGCCCAACTTTTACAACCAAAAATAACAAGTTGACCAAACACAGAATCGCTATAATCAAAGTTCTTTTAGAGGGAGAACACCTCCTAAAGTTACGGGTGAGTTTTCGAAAGGGGAAATAACACCAGTTGACGCGGTACTTCTCCATTGTAACTTATTAAAGCTGCAAGTGTTTTTTCACTTAGCTCAAACTGGGGAGGAGCGCAAGTTTGAAATTCAGCTAGGAGGAAAGGCTTTCCTAAAGTTTAAAGACAGCAAGAATAGACAGACTCTCAACCTCAAACAATAATTTAAAATGCATAATTCACATGTTGCCGTTCAATGATTTATATGATAATTCACTCTTCACATTCTGAATATTTCATTAAGATATTTTATAGGCTACCATAACAATATAGATCCCATACATATGACTAAGAATATTTTTTTCATATCCAATTTATTGTGACACTCCAGAAAATTTGTTTGAAGTACTTTGACCTTTCTGAAAAAACATTGTCTTTAAAAAAACAACTATCAGTTTTACCGCCACTGTTCAGTTTAATCAGTTCTAAAATATATTTATAATTATGAAAGCGGAATCATTTACAGGCATGGCTATTTTCCCGCGGTTTAGGCGACATCTGGTGGTTTTAATCTTTGGGTTTTAACGTCTCAATGCAGGATGCTCACACTGGGAAAGAATAACAAACGGGACAGTTTAGGAAGGGAAACACTTAAAAGAAGGAAGAAAACAGGTTGTAGTGTAGGCAGCATTCTACAGACAGGAGTTCCTGGTCCAACTCGAAACGAGTTTAAATAAAGAACTGTTGTCTCCTGGCTCTATTGTCTCTATAGTTGTGCCAGGAGAATGAGTCATCAAACAAGACTTGTTGTTGTTGTTGTTGTTAAGGAATGAAATTTTGCAGAGCTTTTAGAAAAAAATGTTCTGTTTGAAAATTTATTAAATTGTTAATTATGTCAGTGAATTTACATGCAAAACCAGTCACACAAATTAAATTAGACTCTGACGTTTTCTTGTCGTCATACGTGCTGGGCCTCCCATGATGCTCCGCGGCTTTATTTAATGTGCCAGGTTCGGGTGATTGGATAACTGGCGGCACCTGCTTGGTCTCTAGGCTTCTGCAGACTCCCACGCGTGGCCTCCTGTAGTGTTTTAAGGTTGTGGAAAGTTTGTGTTGAGAGGGGGAAAAACAAATATTGCATTTTTACGATGCCTCTGGTAAAATACTCACCTCTGCTTTTATTTGTCGCGTCGTTATTGATGGTGAGATGCCTCTGCGCTGACGGTGGGTTAACGAGCCTTTGAATTGCTCTGTGATTAATGTGGCGCTCACTGAGCCTTGTGGGTTTTTATTTTTTGCAAACTGTCATATTAAATTGTTTGCCCTGAAATTTGTCCATATGCTTTAGGGTGTAATGAAGCTGGGATTTGCTCCCAGGAAACTGTTGTCTCTAGTAACTCTACAAACTTCACTAATTTTGCTTATGGATTGACTGCAAACATAGCTGCTGTGGTTCTGTATGGAAGCACCTTTGTTCCAGTTAAAAGAATAGAAACAGGAGATGGTAAGTGGAAGAAATCTGGTGTAAGATTTTTTTTTCTACACTTAATGCAAAAACTTTTTTTTTTCTTTTTTTAGGTATGTTCTATCATTTTGTGAGCTGTGCATCAATATGGGTTGTATCTCTTTTTGGCGATCTGGTGCTGCGGACACCCAAATTCCACCCTCTTGCAATGCTCGGCGGTATGATCTGGGCCACAGGTATCGTCTCTGGAAATCACAACTTAAAGCAAAAAACCCTCTTTCTGCAGTTTGGCATCATGTGGTGCAGAAGATGGACTCAGGACATAAAACAGGAGTCCTTTTACTACAGTCAATCAAAAATAATAGTCTCTACTGTGAGAAATGGCCAGTTCTGAGTACACAGTCAGTTTCACCACAAGTCACTGCAGGCTCCATGAAACTGGCTACAACTGTATCTAGAGAAGATGTGACTTGTCATTTTCATGAGCTGCTATAGGCATGCTCTTGTGTTGCTGAAAGGTTGTGCAAATTAAAAAGTGGAATGTTCTAAGGGGAAATGTTTGCATTCTGATTTGGTTAGTTCCTGTTTTGTTCACTGTATAATGAGGGCCTGCTTCAAGTATTCACAAATTCAATAACTGTCTTTAAAATATCAAACTTTAGTCTTTCAAATGGGTTTTAACATTTTGTGGATGATTAGTCGTCAAATATTTTACATTTATTCACAGGAAGTATGGCAGCTGTTACCATTGTTAAAGCAATTGGACTTGGTCTTGGAATTTTAATTTGGGGGTCGTCCAGTTTGTTGATGGGCTGGGCCAGTTCTAGGTAAGAAATGTGACTGCATGAATCTTTGAATTGATTTTTCTGCCTTTTGGTGGTAATCTTTAGGTTGTCATAAAAATGGATGTCACTGTTTGAAACAGATTTGGGTGGTTCGGGATTGATGCTCAGGATGTTTCCAGGCCAATACTGAATTATTGTGGAGCTGGCTTGTGTCTGCTCAGGTGAGCTATGCAACATTTAGCAGCCTTTATGTCACCGTCTTTTGATGTAATGTAGCAGTCAGGATGTTTAGATAATCTGGTCTGGGTTTTATTCCCTTTAGTGGGCTGGTGTTTTTCTTTGTGAGAAGTGATGTGAAGCTCCATCCAGAGTCGGAAACAAACCCTATACTAATTGACAGGGTGGGTGTTTTTTTTTGTTTTTGTTTTTTGTTTTTTTGTTTACTGTGAATTGCAAAAAAAAAAGTTTCTTTTTTGCAGATATCCATTTCAGGCAGTTTTGTACACCACTCCTCTGCATACTGGATTGATGCCATTAGACCAAAGATGAGGCGAATCGTGTAAGGTCAAACATTGCCTTGGTGTGATCTCACAGCTTTGTTGTATTTGGATGACAAAACAAATTGGTTATTTAATGAATCATCACCACTGGACATAATGCATTCTGAGAGACTGCAATAATTATACATGCTGTTAATGTTCACCTGCACTATTAACTCAAAAGCTTAGATTTTCTTAGCAGATGTCAAGGGCTGTAGTCTTTGTTTGGAAAGCAAATTCTACCCCAAGAATGCATATTTGGTTATCAAGAGATTGGATTTCTTTCTTTGAAAAATGGCAGGCAGGAATTATACCATGAAGCATCAGATGCAAAAAGATTTGTGTTTTTGGTTCTAAACTGGCTTTGGAAGCGAACGTTTAGTATTCACTTTGCTAAATTGTGTGACCAGGCGTGGCTCAGTTTCTATTTATCAGTTCTGTAGGAAAATATGTTAAAATTAACATACAAATTGAGCAAGGTCTCTAAGGAGATTAAAAGTGCATCTTTCATCCAGTTTTTCACTCTTTGTATCCTCTTCATCAGTGGTTGCCTGCTTGCCGTTATGGCAGGCTTTCTGTACGGCTCTTCATTCATACCCATTCTCTACATAAAGAACCATTCAGCATGTCGTGACAGCATTTTTTATGGAGCCAGTGTCTACGGTAGGTTTTTAGTCTTTGATAAGACTCCTAATTTTGAATCTTCAACTTGCTGCTATTTCCAAATGAGCATGAAATAAAAGGGAAAAATTAAAGTCATGCTGGCTATTAGGACTGCTCCCACTCTTGATCTATACATGAAGAGCAGTGATCCTGCCCTCTGCTGAGAAGTTGCTTTAACTGAATTTTTTTTTTTTTTCCAGATCTTGACTATGTTCATGCACAGACCTCTGGTATTTTCCTTGCAAGCTCAGTGTACTTCACCATCTACTGTGCTGTGATGAAAAACAAACCCAGGGTTTACCCCAGAGCCATTCTACCAGGTAGCAGCTCATTTTAATAAACAATCTTTCACCAGGCCTGTTTTAACAGGTGAAGATATATTTAAACACAAATGACTAACTTTCAATGCCAAGATAATCAAACTGCCCATTTATATGCAAAATTATGTTTGTTCACACTTGTAATTAACCTTGCAGCACAAAGTAACATGTGTAAGGCTTGCTGAAGATGGAAACCAAATGTAGTTGAGCTTATTGCATTTCTGTGTAACCAATGTCAAAACTTATTTTCCACATGCTCTTTTCTAAGAATCAAGAAAACATGGTACCCAAGAGGCAACTAAAAGATCTAATAATAGCTCCAGTTTGACCCTAAGACGGAATCTGCTGCTGTTTTGAAAATGTCATCTAATCGCTTCCTGTTGCTTCGTGGCATATAGTCATGGAAGGGTTCAGTGTTTAAGTTCTGGCCAATTATTTGGGATGGAGGCTTTTTTTTTTTTTTTTTTTTTTTT